TCGATGTGGGCTATATGGCTCAATGATGAATGAGTTATCATACCTCAAAGGGAGATAGTTAAAACGTAAGCTCATGAAGTAATTTGACTCCAACTCTTGAGGGGCCTCGTTATCCACATAATAATAAGGACGATAATTAGTTAACATTGTTGGTGTCCAAACTATATCCTCTCCATTGTGGATGCGCTTTCTTGCATCCTTCTTGTCAAAGTACCTCGCGGCTCCCTCTCCTGAGTATGCTACCACCAAAGGGACAGACAGGCCCTTAGCAAGTGGATAATGGGTTTTGAGGTAATGTGCAAGCCATCCGTAAACATAATGGATGGAAAAATAAACTTTGACCTGATCAAGTTGGGAAGAACACGAAATCTTATTCAAACTATGATAAATACTCGCCAAAACTGGGACCGCAAGGCTAGTCTTTCGCCCGCTTGCCATCATGCTTGCCATCTTAAAAGTCTCTGGGCGAATGAAGTTCTCTGCCTTATAGGAAGCACATAGCCAACATGATAAGAAGGCTGCTATATATGTTTCATATTTCTTTTCAGACCTCACCCTAAGCTTGGAGAATATAGCTTCTTGATCACTCGACCGCCTAGTTGTCTCGGGAATAACTCTGTTAGGATTATGTGTCGACTTTAGGCGCGCGGATTTCTTTTCCTTTCGCAGTGGGGCAGGTTTATATATTAAAGCTTTCTTATACCAAATATTTGTCCATTTGCTCAAGGAGACCTTTTGGTTAACACTCGTACCTTCCTTAAGGTGATGGAAGGCAACTAATAAATAATCGCAAGATCGAGAAATAAATCTCATATGTTTTTCATCCAAACCGGTGAGTTATCTTATCTCAGGTACCACTCCTTCATACGAAAAACCCACAATGGGCAGACCTCCAAGGATATGTAAGTCCCAAAGAGAGATAGATAGTTCCTCAGCTAATGTAAGAAGCGTGTTCGTCTTGGGGCACCAAGCCTCACAAAATGCTTGCAAAATGTTCGAGTTTCGATCATAAGTGAAAAGTAAGGCATAGACAGTATTATAAATCTTTGTTGTACTCAAGGTTTGTTGGCTTCCACCAAGTATATCTTCAGTCCATTCCCAATATCCTGGAATATGATGATATTCGCACTCGATTGTTGCTGTGTTTCCCCAATAACTTCTCCTTGAATTATGCGACGCCCTAAGTTTGGAAGGGTGCTAGCAATGTTTACGTGGAGATGGAAGAGCTTAGAGAGACCACATCTTGGACAATGGATTAGAAGTAGACTTGTGCTCCAAGGTCTAGTTTTCTACATGAAGCGAGTTCCTCAAAGAAGGTCATGAGGCTGTATATCGGCCAGCTTGTGGGGTGTGAACCAAAAGCTTGGTTTGTTCTATGCCATCTTCAGTCTCGATTACGAGATATCTAAGTTTGGAGGAAGGTGAGATATAGTCTCTGAAATTTGCCATCTCTTTAGGCTGCAAAGGACAAAAAACAAAATCATCAAAGTCCAAATCTAGAATATTAGAATGGGCACAAAAGTCTAAATGGATGAAATGGCCTCCGGTTTTCGGACGGGGATGAATATCCATTCCTTCATACCCTAAGATTAATCTCTCCGATAGTTGGGACACCTTAAGAGTAATATCTCTGATAGCCGGGCCACCTTGAGAGTAATCTCTCTGATAGTCGGGCCACCTTAAGAGTAATCTCTCCGATAATCGGGTCAACTTGAGAGTAATCTCTCCGATAGTCAGGCCACCTTGAGAGCAACCTCTCCGATAGTCGGGCCACCTTGAGAGTAATCTCTCCAATAGTCGAGTCATCTTGAGAGTAATTTCTCCGATAGTTGGGCCACATTGAGAGTAATCTCTCCGATAGTCGGGCCACCTTGAGAGTAATCTCTCCGATTGTCGAGTCATCTTGAGAGTAACCTCTCCGATAGTCAGGCCATATTAAGAGTAATCTCTCTGATAGTCGGGTCATCTTGAGAGTAATCTCTCCGATAGTCGGGCCACCTTGAGAGTAATCTCTCTGATAGTCGAGTCATCTTGAGAGTAATCTCTCTGATAGTCGGGCAACATTGAGAATAATCTCTCCGATATTTGAGTGAGGATGAGTACCCATCCTTTCACGCCCTAAGTTCACCATCTTCATGCAAGAACTTGTCCTATTATTCTTGACCTACAAAAACAGAAACAAAGAACGAAAAAAAAGAAGCAAAAGGAAGCGCAGAACAAAAGAAAAAATTTACCTTAGCAGTTAGCGCTTCCTAATGGTAGCTTGAGAATGATTCAACTGGTGCCGATTGAAGGGGAAGCATATCCTATTTATAGAGCTCCCAAGGAAACTAACTGGAGGATTAATCACGATGTGGAACACGCTTAGTACTCTTGTTGTAAGTAGGTTACTGTAAGGCGGTTGACATTGGCCTCCGAATTGAATTCAATTTGGACGGTATGACAAGTCACTGTAAGGATATGATTCTTTTCCATATCTTTCGCATGTAGTATTTGTCTCCTTATTGGAAATGACAAAGGTGTAAGTTTGTACCACATTGTTAATTCATGTGAGTCATCATGTGAATATTCTTTACCTTGGAAAAAGGTCCTGATCATAGTCATGGCAATTAAGGCTCAATTGCTACGTAAGCAAATTTCATTTGAATTTGATATTGGAAGCTGTTTAATTTAAGGAATTTGTAAATCTTTATAAAGTAAATGAAAGATTTTCTTAAGCCTGGTAGGTTTGGCATATCTAAGAAACAAATTACGTGTCAAACTCAAGGGTTTAAATTATTTAATATTTACTTCAAGACTGTCTTTGAGGTTCTAACAATCGTGCACTCCAACAAGTCTTGAAGTAGGGGCATTTGTAGGCATGCAAAATTTATTGAATTTAAATTCAATAAAATAATTTGAGCTATATTTAAATTTATTAGTCCAAATACATATTATGGGCTAAATATAATTGGATTAATTATTTAAGTCCAATAAAGATTAATATAGTGGCCTATTTAATTGGGCTACAAGTGATGAGCCCAATTCATTAGGCCCAAGATGTCATCTTCCTAGAGCCCAATATACCGTCTTTCTATAGGCCCAGTTTGGTGCCACGTGTCAAATAATGTGGCACGCCAAGTCAAACGGAAGAGCCAATAGGATTATGCCACGTATCAAAATGACAAGGCATGCCAAGTCACATTAAAAGGCTAATGAAATCGCACCACGTGTGTAAATTACATGTTCTGGCCAATCAAATGCGGTCTTGTCACACTTCGCTTTGATTGGTCGGAAAGAATTTGTTCTTATCATAACTTTTTCCTCCCACAACTATAAAAAGGGGTCTTCATAACCCAGAAAAGGGACCAGAAGTTATAACAAGAAGCAAGAAAGAGCTCGTGGATCAAACAATGCAAATTCCTCCATAAGTTTCAATCTTGAAGTAATCAAGTTCAAGTTCAACAATCAAGTTCAAGCTCAAGAACGAAGAACAAACCAAGTTCAAGCTCAAAAACAAAGAACAAATCAAGATTCAAGGAGTACGAGTTCAAATCATAGTCCGTGCTAGTTGAATCCAAGATCATCGTTTGTGGCAACAAATAAGATTCAAGATCAAGCTCAAAGGGCCTTGAATTTATATTGGAAAAGTAGAATCAGAGGAACCATAGAGATTGTAACACTCAAATATTTGAAATAAAATAATATGATTGTTGCAATATTTTTGGTCTTGACTTTATTTTCTCGACACAAATTTAGTGTCTACAATATGTGTGTACTATATATATATATATAATATACATATTTTTATTTTTTTGGCTAGCGAATGCAATTAGTTTCGACCGACCGATCTATTTTATATTTTTCCTTAAAATAGGAATGACCCAATCCAACTTGACCCAATACCCATATATATAAATAAAAATAATACTAAAAGTGAAATCATTCCCCCGCAAAAAAACTTAGTTGGAATGCATCTCATAAAAAAATAAAATAAAAGATATAATTAGAGAGCGCTTAAAACGAAAATGCTATCAATTTGAATGAAAATCTTGAAAAGAAAAATAAAAGATAGAAATATCGTGTTTTGAAGGATTCACTTTTAGTATTAATTTAATTTAGATATGTGGCTATTGGATCGGGTGGATCAGGTCCGGTTGGGTCATTTCTATTTTAATTAGATTATTATTTATTAGACTGAAAATAAAAAATACAAAACCGTGGAATAAGAAAATACTACTGAAAAGTTGTATTTTCTGATTTTTGTATGAGTTGGTAAAAATTTTATAATTTTTGTGAGAGAAAACATAATTATATGAGTTTGATTAAAAAATCATAATTATAGAAGCATATGTGAAATCTAACCCAGAATTTGACAAACTAGTGATGTAGAGCTTGTAGATAGTGGTGAATACTCGCAATATTTTCAAAAGTCTTAGATACCATACGATAGATAAGTTGTGGTTGTGGTCCATTTAACAAATGTTTTCCTTTAGATTCTTTTCTTCTTCTTTATTTTTCATTTTTTTCCTTTTTTTTAAAAGTTTAACTTCTATCCAATACTGAATTTATTTTTAAAATAATAATATTATCATGTCACCTAAAAGATAATTTTTAATACATTAACAAAAAAAGATAATTATAATTGTAAAAATAACACGTGCATAAGAAGATCGGGATTAATAACCTAAAAAGTAAAGCATATTACAATTACAACACATTAATATATATTACGAATATAATTTTTTTTTACATTGTTAATTAATGTATATAAATTACGTTTCTTTTTAAGAAGATACTATAAAACTAGAGGCACACACTTATTTGTCGGACCCAACAATTCAAAGTTGATTTTCCTTACCAAATGATAATATCATAGTCGTTGCGAATGAGACCCAAAATCCACATTTTTAATCCATAAATTTCGGTAGCATATCCCAAATTTAAGCAATTATTCCAATATCTAAATAATCATTGCTGACTTGGCACACACTATATATTCATTCACTCTTCCCTCCATCAAACCACAATTTCATTCAAAGACATCCATTTTCTTTTATTTTCATATGTTTTTTTTTTCTTTTCTCTATTTATCTTAGATTCTAATTGATCATTACAAGAAACATGGATGTTCAAAATGAAAATCCAAATATGGTAGAAGAAAATAAGATCCTATGCAGTTTCTTTCACGGAAATATCTTTATACTTACAAATGAAGAACACTGCAATTACAATTATAATAATAATGAAAATAACACCTCTAGTTATATATTAGGTTGTGAGGATTATGATGAAAGAGGAAGAGGTGGAAACAATGAATCAGAAAGAGCTATCTATTGGGAATCACAACAAGCCTTGCTGCAGGTATATATTTTTATGAAGTTTTTTTATTCATCTTATTATATGAAATTGAGGCTTATTTTCTTAAAAGTTTGGAGGAAGATCTTAAAAGATGAAACAATTCTTTCTTTTAAATATGTTCAAGATGGTGTTTTTCATTTCCATTAGTTTGATTCATTGATCCTTTATTACAAATTTTTGATCATTAAGGGGTTTTTGTTTTCTTATTAGGCCATTTTGTAAATAAATTTTTCTCTTTATTCATTTTATTTTTGCTCACAATGATAAGATGAAATTGATAGACCTGACCTCTGATATGATTTGTTCATTTCCCACTTTTTCGAGATATTCACCACAAATTTGCTTTGGGGTATAAACAAATAGACTTTTGAATAATTTTTTTGAAATGGAAAGGTAATAGGATTTCCACTTTTATTGAAGGGTACTTATATGGTATATTCTTTTCTGCAAACGCATACAAACACTTTTCATACTAACAGAGTGTTCTAGAGTTTATATTGCTGTTCAATTACCCAGTATCTAAACTTTATTTGCTCGATTAATTCTGATTCGTGCCGAAATGGAGGGATACTTCTATGGTATATCCTTTTCTGCAAATGCATACAAACACTTTTCATACCAGCAGAATGTTCTAGAGTTTATACTTCCGTTTGATCACCCGATATTTGAACTTTATTTGCTCGATTAATTCTGATTCTTGCCAAATAAATTTACTAAGGTGCTAAATTCCTTCGTCTATGAAGAAATTTTCCATCTTTAAGTTTCGAATCCAAGACTTTTAGTTTAGCCTTTAGAGCCTGTTTGGATTAGCTGATTGTAAATAGCTGATAAACTTAAAGTGTTGAAAAGCTTTTTTAAGTGCTGAAGCTGATTTTTAAAATAAGCATTTACGTGTTTGGATAAAAGTGTTGAAACTGATAATAAGTAGTTGGTGTATTTGATAAAAAGTGATGATAAGCTATTCTTTTGTTAAAATGACTAAAATACTCTTCGAACTTTTTTTCAAAATATTATAAATTAAAAAATTTCTTTGTAAAAAAAAAGAATTAACAACGAATATGAAATGAAGAGAAAGTCAGGAAATCTATTTTGGGAAAAGTATTTGTGAATTAAAAAATATTATTAAGGATAAACTAGTAAAAGTATTGGTCAAACTAAAAGTGTTTATAAGCTGAAAAGTCATAAGTTGAGAGTGACTAACTTATGATTTATGGCTGATTTTAACTTATAAGCACTTGACTTATAAGTACTTAGGGTGTATACCAAACGCGTAGATAAGCCAAAAGATGTTTATAAGCCGGTTTGACCAGCTTATAAGCTTAGACAAACATCCTCCTAGTAGTGGGTCTCATTTTCATTACGCAGAGAGGTTCTTTTCTTTTAAAATTTTGGCTTAATGCGGGGAGAAAAGGAAATTAAAGGTAAAATATTTATTTTTTTCTCTTTTCAGAAGAATAAATTTTATAAAGTACTTTCGAGTTGAAAACAATAACCACTTCACCTTTTAATTGTTACAAAGGTAAGTTGAAATATTTTCAGAAACCTTAAAAATTTCAAAAACCGATAAATATTAAAAAAAATTATTTTGTTAAGTTTTTATCAATGAATTTATTTTCAAAAGATTAATATTTTATATATTAATAAAAATATGTGGGGTAGGTAGAAAGCAGAGTGTCTGGTTTACCTTTAATTTCTTTTTTCAGTTGACGTTTATATTTAGTTATTGACATGAGATATCTGGAAGTCGTTTTCTAGATTTGGCGAAACTACAAACGTGCTTTGTTCAGGCCAAACATCTGATGGAATTTTTAATGTGAGGCTGCAGTTAATCATATAAACAAAAATCACTCTTTTGTTTGGCTTTTAGCATTTTCCTATCATCGTAAAATACTAAAATATAACAACATTAAAGCATGTGCTACGATTTTTAAAAAATATACATCTTACATTCTCAGAATAGAAATTTTCAGTGGAAAATATTGCAATTAGCTTGACACTATGGTTTTTTGTAAGGACATATAAAAATCTTTTATGGAGGGCAAGATTTTTTAATATTGATCACTCAATATTTTTAGTATGACCACAATTGAATGGTTAAGGATTTGGTCCTTTATTACAAGAATTATAAACCACTCTTTTGGCCACTACAAATCCCACTACTTTTTAGGGCTCACTTGATGTCACACATTTTTTTTTATTTCCCATTAATTGGATAATTAAAAAGAAGTTTATTTAAAAAATCAGAGCTTGCTAGTTAAACTTCAAAAGGGTCTTTTCGAAAAATCTATTTTAACATTTTCAAAGATTCATCTAAGATACAAAAAATCTTAAAGCAAAATAAAGATTCCTGTAATTATAAATGTCATGGATCTTTTCAAGGGTTGTTTTTTTTTTTATAAAGTATATATAATTTGCAAAATGTTTCAGGAAATCTTGGAGCAATATAGCTTGATTGGATCAAAACTACGAGAAGGGATTACAAGAAATGTTGATAGAGTTAAAGAGGGAAATAATGTTTGTGAATGTTCAAATCCAAAAGTAGAAGGATGTGCCAAATGCTTAAGGAGAAGAGTGGTACATCAGCTTTGTGAAAAGGGATTCAATGCAAGTCTTTGTACTTCCAAATGGAAACACACCTCAAAGATGCCAGGAGGTACCATAGTATATATGTAGCTGTTAGTATTAATAGTTGAAATTAAAAGACAAGCAATCTATACTAATTTAATTAATAGCATTAATAGTTTATTCTAATTAGTATCAGTGTATAATTAGGTAAATTTAGTGGAGTTGGTCTCAAGATGCAGGTAGACATGAATACATAGAAGTGATAGCAAGCACACAAGGAAGAAAGAAGAAAATCCCATTCTTGATAGAATTGGAATTTCAAGATGAATTCAAGATGGCAAAAGCATGCAAAGAATACACAAAACTAATAAGCCAATTGCCAGAGGTTTTCATAGGCAAACCCGAGCACTTAAACGCTATTATTCGACTGATGTGTGATGCAGCTAAGAAATCAACGGAACAGCAACGAATCCATTTAGGTCCATGGAGAAAGAGGAATTTCATGCAGATGAAATGGTCAGCTAATAATTCTACTACAGAAAGGAGACTAGTTAATATTAATATTGATCAACAAACGTTGAGTAAACTAAGGTTGAATATTTCGCCAATGCAAGAAGTAGATGCTAGGCCTGGTTTGGAGTTTGCTGCTGCAACTGCTGTCAAAGTTGCATAAATAATTACACGATCGAGTTGCATTTTCCCAGGTCTATTGGGAAGATATATTTTTATGGTTTTGAGATTATGAGTTAGCTTTTTGGTGGAACATGTGAAGAGTTATGTACTACGGCACGTCTAGCTATGAAATCCAGTTCTATTATATTTGTGCATGGAAGTCATAACTTCATTATACATATATATCACAAAAAATTAAAAACATAAGAAGATACAAAATCTAATCCAAAGACACAAGCAGACCGTTATTATATAATATTCACGTGACACTATTTAATGAAAACAAAAAATTCATTTTCACACCAAATCCCCGGCCAATTTCAGACCATTTTACTTGACCAAAACCTCAAACTTCTACCCGGTCAAAACGTCACGTTTAATCACAAAATCGTCTCCATTGGTTAACCGTACATTAGGAAACGTTAAGTCTTTAGTGGATTAGCGTCAAGCTTTTCTTTGTTCTGTTACTGCATTCCTGCGTGACCTAAATTTTAAGTATGCTCGGGTATCATGGCAGAGTCTGTCCGGGTGAGCTTAAGCTAAAGCAGGAGAAGAGAGTTAGCTTTCTGCTGAGTGAGCCCGATAACCTCACTGCAGTGGTTTGTAGACTTACTTTGCTGCGGAAAGCTCAAGTAAAAACCTATTAGAACTGTGGGCCTCACCCGTCTACTACTCGACCTTAAATCTTTTAATCTATTTCAGTTCTTGTGTCTGTCGTTATTGCTCCTAGCCCGATTCCAAGACCTGACCGGGTTTGAAAGTTCCTCTCATGGATTTCTTCCCGTTCAAGCCAGAAAAGCCCCGTAGCTATAGCTATCCAAGAATGAAAGTGAAATTCAAGCGGGCGCGAATGCCATCGAATGGGCGCTTTGCCACTATAAAATAGTACTACCGTGAAGGTTTCCAAACATTAACACATTTGTTCAAAAAATTCTAAAGTAGGCAAAAATATATGAACAGGAAACGACAAACCCCAATTGAAGTGGGTAACGGTAAGGTATTGATCGTATTGCCTTGAGGTTCGGTCGGATAAAATGGTCTGAAATTAGTTGTGTATTAGGGTAGAATGATAAACTAGTATGATCCATATCAAACAGCTCTATAAGAAGCACTATTTTATTTATTTATTTGAACTAACACATTAAAACCTCTATCTATTTATCTTGAAGCTTTATTTTTCACATAAATTTTCTGAAAGATTTATTACACATTCGATTCTTGTTCAAACTGTATCTACCATCACCCTAAAGCATTATAGTGGCATAGATAGTGTATTCCTAAAACGCGTGAGGTTAGACAAATATTAAAAATTTATATTTTGCATTATATCTTTCATTAAAAACCTTTTCCTACTTTTTATTTGCATTATACTTTTTCTTTTATCTTCTTTTCTGTTTCTCTTCTCTTCCTTTCTTTTCTTCTTTTCCTGCCCATTACTCCGCTCCACTAAAAAATGTTAAATTTCTGAATTGAATTGAATATTGATTAAGTATTACAGTTGTGAGCAGAGATGAAACGGAATGGAGAGCAATCACGCTAGGAGAGATTCAAATTTAATTTAAAGAACAAGCTAAGCTAATACAATAGTATATATATCCTCAGTTGTCCTACATGAGAATCAATTCAGTGCTTGTCAACTTTAAGCTCAGCTCCATAGAAGAAGCTACATGTTTAGATTTTGATAGCCCCAAATTAGCAATTAGCTCCAGGGAATACTTTCTCTTATGCATTGATATCCCTTCAGGACTCCTTACAAATTCTATCCCCAAGAAATACATCCTAAGTCCTTGTTCTTGAATTTATTGAAGAACATCTTTAGTGGCTTGAATCAACTGCATATAATCACCAGTAATAAGTAATTCATCTTACACCAAGACAATCACTATCTTCCTAGTCACCTTTTTGATAAATAAAGAGTAATCCAATAGACTCTATTGAAAGTTAGAATCAATATGAACAGATGTCAATTTAATGTCTCATTGTTTGGAGGGTTGTTTGAGCCCACTAAAGGGCTTATGCAGCCTGCAAATTAGTGATTTGTCCCATGACCAACTGAAACCTTGTGGTATGCTCATGTACACCTCCTCAATCAAGTCTCCTTTCAAAAATGCATTGTGATATTCATTTGGCGGATTTTCTACTACCTTAAAGCTGCCAAAGAGATAACACTTCTAATAATCACCATTTTACCATAAGTAAAAATGTCTCGTGGTAATCCAAGCGTTCCTTTTGAGTAAACTCCTTAGCTACAAGTCTTGCTTTGAATCCCTTCACTTCTCCTGTAGCTTTATATGTAATGTTTAAAACTATTTGTAATTGATAGCTTTATTTTCCTTGGGAAGTGGAACAAGTTTCCAAGTTTTATTATCATCTAATGCCTTAATCTCTGTCTTCATATCTTCTATCTAATTTTTATCTTTGGTTGTATCTTGATAGTTATCTGGTTCCACTTTTTAAAAAAATGGAAAGAAAACTCTGATATTTGGTAAATATGATGCCATACCTGTCACATCAGAAATGGGGTAGTTATAACAGTTGGATTGTTTCCTTATTAGGTCTAACATAATCTTTAAGCCATATGTGTGGCTTTTGATACTCTTGTGGATTTCCTGACATCTTCAGGTTGAGAAACTGGTGTAGCCAAGCTCTATGCCTTCAATATGAACTGGAGCAAATTTCGAAGTGTAGTTTGTATCCTTTCTAATTCACAGCATATCTAAGCAAGGAACATTTTAGTGCTCCGGGCCAAGCTTATCACAACTAGGTAAGGTAGTGGCAAAACATAGGCAACTAGTGACTTTGATATGTGATAGGTAAGGCTGTTTGCTATATAACAATTCATATGGAGATTTGAAGCCTAAAACAGTGGAGGAAATTGTACTAATTATGTAAAAAACTGAACAAATTCACTCTCCCCAGTATCTAGCAGGCAGATATTCCTAAAATCTAATGGCTCTAGCTGTTTTCAAAATGTGTTTGTGCTTTCGCTCAAGCGCCTCATTTTGTTGCGGGTATAAGGACAGGAATTTTGGTGTAAAATATCATGCAACTGACATAGCTCTGTACATGTAGTATTGAATTCACCATTATTGCCTGATCTGAATATTTTAATAGTCTTACCAAGTTGAGTTTGAACCATTCCAATTAAGTTTTTAAGCAGAACAATAACATCATATTTAAGTTTCTTAAGGAATACCCATGTCCATTCGGTACAATTATCAATTAAGCAAGGAAAAAATCTCATTCCACTGTGAGTACCTACCTTGTAACGGGCCCAAATATCCATATGAATCAACTAAAAACGACAAACTTCACACTTATTTAATAACATATTATTACTGAAACTAGACACCTTACTAAGGGTTTGCATAGACACATATCCCATCCTTTTATGCCAAATGTCTTCAGACTCCTTTGTTACTGCAATAAAGGCATGGTAGATCTTATTCTCACTTTTTCTTTCCGCAGAAATTATGGTATACAATCCATCTTCCTCCCTACCAGTCTCCTTCACTTTTCCAGGTAAGAAATCCTGAAAAACATAAAATGTAAGAAAGAAATAGACAAAGAAATTCAGATCTTTTGTCACTTTGGATACAGACAAAAGATTAAATTTAAATGTGAGTATTCTTAATGATGCCACCTCATGTAAGCTGATAGCCCCCAATATGAGTCCCTTATAGGCATTTGCACATGTCTTTCATTCCCTACTAACATGCCATTTTTCAGTAAATCTTTATTCCCTATCATATGATTTGTAGCACTTGTATCTATAACCCACTTAGGAATATGTATATTGCAACAAAGTATTTACTTGTCGTCGCTGCTATATTAGTATTATTCTATCCAATGGAAGTCTTGTTCAACATCTGTAAGATCTGAGCATATTGCTTGAGTAAACATTTGCATTGGTGCTGTTTTGTTTCTCATTTTTGTGACATTCCCCTTCTATCTGTGCTACAATAGCTTTTCCCTTAGACTTGAACTCTGAAGGATAACCAATTCAAGTGTCCTGTCTTGTTACAAAATACATTTTGTTAGCTTGTAATAACCTTTTCTTGTATGTCCCTTCTGTATACGGTCGAAATAGATTTCGGCATTCCTACGTTCAATCGAGTTCAAGTGTTAAAAAGTCGGAATGAGATTTTGGGAGTGAGCTCCGAAGTCGGTACTAATGAGTCTCGAGCCCGAAGGTCGCTCGAGGAGTCGGCTCGATAACCCTATCGAGCTCGTGACCGAATCGATCCGTAAGGCACTGCTTCGAGGTCGGAAATGTGCGACGCCCATCTCGAATGTCGAACTCGAGCCAAGACCGAAGGGCCCGACCCAGTAACGAGTTCGAGCCAGTATAGAGCTCACAGACAAGAGCCGTTGCGACCGCACCAAGAGAGAGAATTTTGGCGGGAATCAAGGAAGAGACAAGTCATCATGGGCCTTCCACTATATATTTTATTTTATTATTTTTTGTAATGACCCTCTTCTATAAAAGGGGGAATCCTTGTAAGCTAAAGGAGGGGGGACAAAAAAAAATCACTTCTCAGATTGAAAGATATCTCTTTGTGTTTGCTTTACTTTTATCTCATTCATTCTTATTGCCCATTATTTGCATTCTCATAGTCAAGAATATACGTATCTCTATTTCTCTACACGATTTATATCGAATTGTATCGCATATCCTTAGAACCATACACAACATCTAACGTTATCTGATTTTTTCGGTAAACAGTTTGGCGCCCACTGTGGGGCTAAGGGTAACAGTGATCGTTTGATACAAATCTAAAGTACATGCCAGCTTACAACTTCAAATCAGCAATGGCTTTACTTATCGACCACGAAGCCGGCCTTCAAGATGAAACCAACAACTTGGCACCCGGGGCCGGAAGACCAATTAACGATGGCACCGAGGCTCGAATCGAAGTACCCGAAATTCGAGCGAAAATACCATTGGATGTCAATTCACAAATAGCTTTGGAGGCAAATCAGCGTTCTGAACCAGAAAGAAGCATTCAGGGCGGTACTCGATCCGTAGCCCGAGACACCCAAAACGCGGGGGAAATTGGGGCCAGCTTACGTATGATCTTCGAGATGCTACAAGCCCAACAAGTAGCGATAGCTCAGTTACAGAGCCAAACTCGCGCACAAAGCAGGCCGGATTCCAAT